ACAGGCCAGAAGGGAATGGCATGAAGTAATCAAGGTCATGAAAAACAAGGATCTGAATCCAAGACTACTCTATCCAGCAAGGCTATCATTCAAAATAGAAGGTCAAATAAAGAGCTTTCCAGACAAAAAAGGCGAAGGGAATATATTAACACCAAACCAGCACTGGAAGATATGCTAAAAGGACTGCTGTAATTAGTAGACAAAATAGGAAGAAAAATAGAACCACACTAAACAAAAATAGCAATAAATAAGTACATATCAATTATCACCTTAAATGTGAATGGTTTGAATGCTCTGATAAAAAGACATAGAATAGCCCTGGCCGGTTTGGCTCAGCGGTTGGAGCGTCGGCCTGGGGTCCGGAGAGACCCGGGTTCGGTTCCCGCTGGGGGCATGTACTTCGGTTGCAGTTTGTCCCCGGCCCTGGTTGGTCGTGCGGGTGGCAGCCACTCGATGTGTCCCTTCACGTCGATGTTTCTGTTTCTCTCTCCCTTCCTCTCTCTCCCTCCCACTCTATCTGTACAAAAAAAAAATGGAAAAATATCCTCGGGTGAGGATAAAAAAAAAAAAAAGACAGAGTAGCTGACTGAATAAGAAAGCATGACTCACATATATGCTGTTTACAAGAAACCCACCTCACAACAAAAGACTCACATAGGTTGAAAGTGAAGAGATGGAAAAAAAATCCTCAAGCAAATGGAAAGCCAAAAAAAGCTGGGGTAGCAATACTTATATCTGATAAAGTAGATTTCAAAATGAAGGCCATAACTAGAGACAAAGAAGGCCACTACATAATATTGAAAGGATCTATCCAACAGGAAGATATAATCTTGGTACACATATATGCACCCAACATAGGAGCACCGAATTATATTAAAAATCTTCTGGAGGACTTTAAAGGAGAAATCAATAGCAATACAATCATAGCAGGGGACTTCAACACCCTGCTGACAACACTGGATAGATCCTCTAGACAAAAAATTAGCAAGGAAACAGAGACTCTAAATGAAGCACTAGACCAAATGGATTTCATAGATATCTACAGAGAATTACACCCCAAAACTACAGAATTCACATTCTTCTCAAGTGCACATGGGACATTCTCAAAGATAGACCACATGTTAGGGCACAAACTAAGTCTCTACAAGTTCAAGAAGATTGAAATCATATCAAGCATCTTCTTAGATCACAATGGCATAAAACCAGAAATCAATTGCAACAAGAACATGCAAAGACATTTGAACACATGGAGGCTAAATGGCATATTATTAAACAATGAATGGGTCACTAAAGAGATCAAGGAAGAAATTAAAAACTTCCTGGAAACCAATGAAAATGAACACACAACAACACAAAATCTATGGGATGCAGCAAAGAGAGTTCTGAGAGGGAAGTTTATAGCACTACAGGCCTACCTCAAGAAACAAGAAAAATCTCTAATAGACTATCTAACCTCACAACTTAAAGAACTAGAAAGTAAACAAAAGGAAACCCCAGAGCAAGTAGAAGGAAGGAAATAATAAAGATCAGAGCAGAAATAAACAACATGGAGACCAAAAAAACCCCAAAAAAACAAACAAACAAACACAATTCAAAGGATCAATAAAACAAAGAGCTGGTTCTTTGAAAAGATAAACAAGATTGATGGACCCTTAGCTAGACTCACAAAGTAACAAAGACAGAGACCCCAAATACACAAAATCAGAAATGAAAGAGGAGAAATAATAACTGACACCACAGAAATACAAAGGATTGTTAACAAATATTATGAACAATTATATGACAACAAATTTGACAATCTAAGTGAAATGGACCAATTTCTAGAAACACATAGTCTCCCAAAACTAAACCGGGAAGAGAGAGAAAACTTGAACAGACCAATAACAACAAAAGAAATTGAAGATGTAATCAAGACTCTCCCAGCAAACAAAAGCCAAGGCCCAGACAGCTTCATGGGGGAATTTTACTGAACATTCAAAGGAGAAGTAATACCCATTCTCCTCAAACTATTTCACAAAATTCAAGAAGAAGGAACACTTTCAAACTTGTTTTATGAGGCCAGCATTATTCTAAATCCAAAACCAGATAAAGACACTACAGAGAAAGAAAACTATAGCCCAATATCCCTGATGAACATAGATGCCAAAATCCTGAACAAAACACTAGGAAATCAAATCCAGCGATACATCAAAAAAATTATTCACCGTCACCAAGTGGGATTCATCCCAGGGATGCAAGACTGGTACAATATTTGCAAATCAATAAATGTGATACACCACATAAACAAAATGAAGAATAAAAACCACATAGTCATATCAATATACACTGAAAAAGCATTTGACAAAATCCAGCACCCATTTCTGATAAAAACACTAAGCAATCTGGGAATAGAGGGCTAATATCTCGACATAATAAAGGCCATATATAAAAGACCTACAACCAACATCATACTCAATGGGCAAAAATTAAAAGAATTTCCCTTAAGAACAGGAATGAGACAAGTATGCCCACTTTCACCACTCTTATTGAACATAATACTGGAAGTCTTAGCCACAGCAATCACACAGGAAAAAATAAAATAAAAAGGATCCAAATGAGAAAGGAGGAAGTGAAACTGTCATTATTCGCAGATGACATAATACTTACTATACGTAGAAAACCCCAAAGACCCTATTAAAAATTTACTAGACTTAATACATGAATTTGGCAAAATAGCAGGATAGAAAATTAACATCAAGAAATTGATGGCATTCTTATACACAGGATCTCACTTACCTGTGGAATATAATGAACATAACAGTCTGAGGAACCAGGTAGTCCCAGAGATGTGGAAGTGGGGTACAGACTGAAAATTCCAAGAAGAGGGGGTGGTGGGGGAGAGATAAACCACAGAACTTATATGCATGTATGCATTAACAATGGACATGGACAACAAAGCTGGCGACAGGGGGAGGGGGATATCAGTGGGGGGAAAAGAAACATTTGTAACAAAAATAAATAAATTAATTAAAAAATACCTTCAAAAGTAATTTACAAGGTAAGATTACATTACATTCACAAGAACTGTATTTCTATAAAACTATCAGAATCTTTCAGTAGGGGGAAAGAAGATTTAATATCAATAAATAGATGCTGAACGTAGAATAAATAGACGCTGAACTAATTCACTATAACTGAAAAAAATGTTTGTTTTACTACTGAAGAAATAATAGATATAGTTATTATAATAATCAAAAAATAACAAATGCATAAACTGAAAACTTCAAATCATCAGAATCTTCAGATTGCCAAGAAGAATTTATGTACACTTCCAGACATTTTCTGTGCATTTACATGTAGACATATTAGTAACAGATATTTTGGAATCTGTTCACAGTAAATGAGATAATGGATTCACATTCATTTATTTTGTGCTCTGCAGCATTACCTCTAAGTTCTTCCTTTTTCAGGTACATCAGTGTGTGTTTCTGAAACCCCTTGGTAGGGTAGAGATTAGAGGCTATGATCATGTCCCCCAAAGCTATATTTTGCTAAAGTGAGATTATAGAGAAGAGTAAAAAATACACAGTTGTTTGGGGCTGAAAAAAACTCAGCTTAAATGTGTCCTCTTTCAGAAATCTATGTTTTTATTGATTTCAGAGAGAGGAAGGGAGTGGGAGAGGTAAAAACATTGATGAGAAACATTGATTGACTGCCTCCTGCATGCCCCCTACTGGGGATCGAGCCTGCAACCTGGGCATGTGCCCTGACTAGGAATCAAACAGGCGACCTCCTGGTGCATGAAATGACTTTCAAAGGACTGGGCCACACCAGGCTGGAAAGCTTCTTAATCCACTGGGAATAGCACTCTGATTGAAAAAGTGAACTCATTCATTCATTCTTTCAGTTCAGGATGGAGAGGGGATAGGAAAAAAGAACATGGGACCTGGGCCAGATCGGGTGAGAGCTGCAGCTGCAGAGGCACCTGCTGACGTTGACTCTGATGGTATCTTAGTTTGCTGGGGCTGCTATCACCAAGTACTACAATTGTCTCACAGTTCTGGAGGCTAGAAGTCCAAAATCAAGGCATTGTCAGCACCGGTTTCTTCTCAGGGCTGGGAGGGAAGGATCTGTTCTAGGCCTCTTTTTTTGGCTTGTAGATGGCCATCTTCTCTCCATGTCTCTTGCCCTCTATGCATATCTGTGTCCAAATTTCCTCTTATAAGAACACCAGTCACATTGTATTAGGGCCCACTGTAATGACCTCGTTTTGAATTACTACCTCTGTAACAACTCTATTTCCAAATGAGGTCACACTCTGAGGCACTGGGGGTTAAGTCTGTAACATATGAATTATTAGGCAGACAGGACTCAGCCCCTAACAGATGGATTGTAATGTTGGGCTTCAGCGCTTTCCCCCTGTGCCTCTAATCACCATTCTCCAACTGCAGCTATCCAAGTGGGGGCTCTTTAAGAAGTTCAAGTGCTGGACTCACGTGTGGGTATCACTATTTCACTTATTATTGACAACCCACTTCATTTCCCCAAGGGAGAGTCTGTGTGGCCTTGCTAGAGCCTCCTAACAAAGCACAGGAAGCTGAGCCCCAGGTGACCAACAGGTTCTCTGCCTTCCTGATTTCCTCTCTGGTCTCTTTTGTATTTTTCCCTTCCCTACTTCCTTGCATGTTGGGACATTTACCCTTTGACCCTGTTAGTTATTCCCTCCCCTTTTTCTTTATTGTCCTGAGTTATCTTCCTTTTCCCACACTCCAATCACCTTTTTCATGTTCTCTTTCAGTGAAGATGAGGAAATTGCTGATACCTTTTATTAAGTGATTCAAGCTGTATCCTGCCTGATTACCCGAAAAAATTCTTAAAGGTGAGGACATCTGCTTGATAGGTTACTGAAAAAAATAATTATTTTTATTTTTTGGAATAGTTTCTGATCAAACTTTTTGGCTCAAGAAGAAAAGAAGCTAGTTGCTTTTCACCCAGGAGTGGATTTGTGGTTTGGCTTCCCTATGGCTTCCTGCCGTGTGTGTGACCTCAGGACGCTGCTGGCCATCGTGTGTGGGCTGATAACCACCATCATCTTGGGACTGGGCATCTGGAGGGCTGTGGTCAGGATCCAGAAAGGTAATGTCATCCTGCTATGTTTAACTTAGAGAAGGCATTGAGCTTCTGTCCCTGACACCTGCCACAGTACTGAAAAGTGCCATGTCTAGCCTGAGGCTGCCCACGACGGTGCTATTTATGAAATATAAAGACAAGGGTCAATTGATGGCTGGCATATGGTTGTATGGACATGACTACATGTGTGTGAGTGGGCAAGGTGACTGATGGCATTGCTGAATTGACCTCTTTATGCTCTTTAACCCCTGAATGAACGGATAGGAGAGTAAGAATTAAAATCATTAATAACACATGTTTGGATTTGTTTAGCTAAATCTAAGAAAGGAAAATAGTTATGGACACACATGTACACATAAAATCAAACATACATAGAATGGAATTTCATTTGAAGAGGGAAGTTTAAGAATGTTTTCTCTAGGATTGTAAATAAAATGATATCATGGTTTGCACATGAAGTTCTCACTTTTCAGGTGTAGAAAACTACTCAAAATTAATGTCATTGAGAAAACAATTTCTCTGGTTATTCAACAAATATTTGTTAGGACGTGCTATGTGCTAGAGCTGACTTAGGGAAAGGGGAAGGGGAGGGAAAAGACGTGTAAACCAAGGATGTTAAAGGAAAGCCCCAGAAACTCACAGGAGACTTTCCTCAGTCCTGTACTGTGCCCTTGGGCTGTGCCGGTTCTCCAGGGCGGACCCAAAGCTGGCTCAGCACTCCCCTTTTGTGAAAAACAGAAAGTTTGTAATGAAACTGAGTAGGTACAGGTAAGTCGTCAGTCAGGAGAGGGCAGAAGGAAAGGTGGTCTGCCCTCTGAGCAGGAAGCTGTGGCCCCAGGAGCTGGCACCTGCTTGTGAAGCCCGGCTGGGGAAGACGGGGCCAAGCACACTGGCTGCTGCTCAAGTGTAGCTGAGAGCAGATCTGGATCTTGCCTTTCCCGCCGAAGAACAATGTTTCAAGAATACTGTATTAATAGGATTTAGAGAACTAGCATGAGAAAATTCATCAGAACGAAAACAGTAAAATTTAAACTTGGGGAAAATGTGTTTTTGTTTGTTGGTTTAAGGTATATAAAGTTGTTAGTTGAAGTTTAAAAAGATTATGAGCTCTGTAGTTTGCCCGATTCAGGCTCCTAAATGTATAAGACCTTATTTAAAAGTATACTGCTAAAAATCCCCCCCCCTTTCTCTTCTTCCTTTATATGACATCTACTTTAAAAAATTAATATTTTACATGATTTATTTTTATTGTTGACACTATTGCAGATGTCCCCCATTTTCCACCCCTTTACCCCCCTCCTCCCAGATCCACCCCCTCCCTTGGCCCTCACCACACTATTGTGTCTATGGGCTATGCATATAATGACATCTACTTTTAAAGGGAAATTTGTGGTGACTTATAAAGGACACAGGTACCACCGAATCATCAAAACAAGGACAAATGTACAAAAACATCTTAAGAGAGAGGACAGGGTGGGGAACAGAAAGCACAGGGAAGTTAAAGGCTAGAGGGAGTTGCTCAGAATAAATGCAAAACATATCCCTGAGCTTCCTGAGGAACAAGGCCCCTAACAAAGCCGAGTACCAGATGCCATGTAGAGACATACCAGCTCCTCAGAAAAGACAAATGTTTCCTTTCTCGAAGCACAATTTAGGATTGGCTTGTGTTTTTCTGGGTAAACCCAGTTGAACAGGAGGGGGTTGCTGCTATCATTTAAGAAGAAAGATAGAAAGATTGATAGTGCTTGCTGCTATATTTTGCCTTCTGTACTTTATTCAGATTTTATTTTATTTGGTAAATTCCAGTTCATTTCACTTCACTCCCTTCCTCTCATTCCACTCCACTCTACCCCATCTCTTTCCATCTCATCTTATGTAGTTATTGGATGGTCTTCCTTTGGTCCCTTTACTTGGGTATGCAGATGAATTGTTTTTAAATTTATATTCCTAAGGAGAGAATCACGGGTAATTCATTATTTTATATTATAAAACTGACAGTTAAAAAATTCTTACTGCCTAGCCAGTGTGGCTCAGTGATTGAACGTCGACTCATGCACCAAGAGGTGGTCAGTATAATTCCCGGTCGGGGCACATGCCTAGGTTGTGGGCCCAATCCCCAGTGGGTGGCATGTAGCAGGCGACCAGTCGATGTTCTCTCTCATCAATTTCTGTATCTCTCTCTCCCTCTCCCTTCCTCTCTCTAAAATCAATAAAGAAAAAAAAAAGTCTTACCATACTGTAGGTACTATACTAAAAAATTCACATGCCTTATTTCATTTAATCCTAACAACCACTTTTGAGGCAGATATGTACCCATGTTACAGATAGGAAAACTGAGGCTCATAAAATGTTTTAAAGCTTACATGGTTGGAAAATGTTGGGTCTGGATTTGATTTTAGTCATTCTGACTTCAGTATCTGTGCTCTTTATTCCTACTCTATTCCACCTAACTAGAAGCAAGACACGGTATTAATTCATCTTTTTTTTTTCAGGCAACTGTGGCTGAAAACCCTAATTCACAAAGATAGGCAGTAATTAGTAGAATTAGAGTGTTTTGTTGTTTAGCTAAGCAAAGTTGGGCACTTTGAAATGTCACATTGTCTTTAAGTCAATGAGATCTACTTTATTAATGCTGCATATAGAGTATAGTTTAGTATTCTTGCTTTAATTTTAAGGGTTTCTGAGTCTTTGAATGGTGTCTATAGATTTTTGACTGTGTAGTAACAGCCATAACTTTGCCACCGTTGCTAATATTGTGCAAAAGCACTTCCTCCATCTTTGCAAAGTTATATGGTTGTCTATTGTTGACCTTCTAGTCCAGAACAGCAAAAGAGATTACATTCAGACATTACATTGCCTGAAACACTGTTTGTTTTCTGACAGTATTCATTCTGGTAAGTGCCTTTAGTAAAAGATTTCTCACATTCACACAGCCCCAACATCTCCTAGCCATCAAACAAACCACAAATGTCTCATTTCTGTCTAATTATTCTGTGTGAGTTTACCTTTTTATATTTTTAAAATGAATCATTGGTTTAAATATCAAGCAAGTGCTTCAAGACATGGCCTCTAGAATGTTAATAATCTGTGTAGTATAGAGAAGGTTTTTTATTCTGCTTCTATTTCTTAACAAGACCTCTTGGAAAATATCATAGTTCAAGGCTCTGGTCCTGATGAAGTTGATAGCATTTCATATGAGTAGATGAGACTTCTTTTAGAATTGCTAGAATAATCTTTGGTATTTTTATATGCTGCTAATGAAAACACTATAATAATAATGATCTATTTTTCACTAAAGTATCATATTTTAAAAATAATATATATTTGAATATATATTAAATAATTATATTTATATACATATAAACAATATAGAAGTAAATACAGATACAAATGTGTATTAATCCACAATAATATTACCAAGTGTAATACTTTCTCTTTTTATGCTCCCAAAAACAAGATATACTATGCATTTGAAATTTTGTTTGGTAAAAATGTTTTCAAAACTATTGGTGACTTTTGCTATTTCCAACAGAACTCAAGACTTAGAGCCCTCTCTAATGATGTCAGGTTGCCTGAAACTCTTCGTTTAGAGTTTCACATGGTTGTCTCCTTCTTTGACAGTTTTGGTTTTAGGTTAAATGTCACCTCCTCAAAGAGACCTTTCCTATCCACCCAGTCTATCCCTCTCTTTCACATGTTTTTTTTTTTTTTTCTTTCTTACTGATTTTGAGAGAGAGAGGAAGAAAGAGATAGAAACATGGATGGGATAGAACATTGATTTGCTGTCTCCTGCATGCCCCCCACTGGGGATCGGGCCCACAACCAGGGCACTTGCCCTGACCGGGAATAGAACCAGCAACCTCTTGATGCAGAGATGACGCTGAACCAGTGAGCCACACCGATCAGGCCTCACATGTATTTTTTTTTTTATCCTCACTCGAGGACATTTTTCCTTTTTTTTTTTTGCTCAGATAGAGTGGGAGGGAGAGAGAGGAAGAGAGAGAAAGAGAGAGAGAGAGAGAGAAACATCGATGTGAAAGGGTCACCCTGAGTGGCTGCCACCCACACGATCAACCAGGGCCGGGGACAAACTGCAACCGAGGTACATGCCCTTAGCGGGAACTGAACCTGGGTCTCTCTGGACCACAGGCTGACGCTCTAACCACTGAGCCAAACTGGCCAGGGCTCACATGTATTTTTTTAATAGCTTTGATCACCTCATAATTTCTTACTTATTTGTTTGCTGGTTGACTGTCTCCCCATTTCTAGAATGAGAGCTCTTAGAATAAGTCAAGCATCTGACTTATTAATCTATATTTCTTCTACCTAAAACAGTACTTGAAATATGTTTGCCAATACACAGTTGATAAGTAAATGAAAGAATTATGTGAAAAAAGGAAACTGAGTTAAGAATTGTCAAATAGCTATATTCAAAAGTAAAATAACAGTTATCGATTCCTTGTTATTTGCCTCAAAATAGTAAAATAAATGTAATTCTGGATTTGTTTACATAGGTAACATAGACACTATTTTGGTTTTCTTTCTCTGCTCTAAGCTGTGCAACATATTGACCATTTCTGAGGCTGGCTTCAATAAGATCTCTCCAACTGTGTGTGGCCTCTTTGGTTTAACCATGTGATCAACAATCTTGTAGGATGCCTTTGTGTTGGAGTAAATCTAAGTCTTGACAGCCCTCCAACCTTTTCACATTGGGCATTCTGCATAGAATAAAGTCCACCTTATCTTATATATTTTCAGAATGTCAGACAAAAGGAGCTCAATCTCCACTGGTGGTGTGTTTCTAATAGCACAGACCTGGTAACACAAGAAGCAGCATGGCTTTTCTGTCCCATCACACTTGATGATAAGACTAAAATTAAAACATAGTTAAGCTTAATTGTCTCTATCTTTCCATTGACATTTTCCAACTTGAGCTAGACCTGAGGTAAACATAGACAGATGTCCATAATCATAATAGTAGGGGATGTTTTCTTTAACACTTATCA